CTGCTGTCACTATCAACTGCAGAGATACCAAAGATGAGAAACAAATCCAAGAGGAGGACAACAGCTTTTACCAAAAAATTAAGCAACAAACCAAACCAATAATTGCAAATGATATTCCAGGTACATTCCTCCAAATAATCTTACTTCATTTCATGTCAAAGAGTTTTGGCACTTTTAAGAACACAAGAAAACACGCCCGCATTTTAAAAATTAGATGTATTTTCACAGTAGTACCTTCTGCTTTGAAGCAGACAGAATTCATCGTTTTTATGTTATTCACTTTTTCCATTTCAGACAGCTATGGAAATATTGAACCTGCCCTTGAGCCAGTGTGGGCTTTGGCTGTTGTTGGCAGCAGTTATATAATGTGGGAGAAGTCAACAGAGAACTTGGGTTACTCCATGGCGCAAGTCAAGTCTGTGAAGCAATGGGTAAGCTAAGTGGAAATTTCAAGTCTATGTTACAGATGCAAACACTGTCTTCCAAGCGACAGAAAATAAAACCGCCATTGACCAGCTCACACTTTCCGTAATATCTGTGATTCTTCCAAGATCCTAGTGGCTTCACATACAAGTATCTCAATCAGAGCAAGTTATTTTGCCCAGTTTGGTAGAAAAATATTACTCATTTGGACCAAATTCTGTTTCTTTGTTTGTATGAGTGGATCTGTTGGCTTCTGCAGGATTAATCAGAAGATTTGCACATGTGGTCCTGCAATTCATCAGCCCTATTCTAAGTCACTCCTCGTGTTCTTTGCCTTCCTAGCTGAGCTCAAAGGTAGCATCAATTTAGTATTTGATGTGAGCTCTCTTAGGGAACATATCGCACAGCTGCAGCATATAGAATAGGAGTTTCCAAAGGTTTGTTTCTGTCTCAGTCATCTGTGATCTATAAATAGTGTGCTTGCTTTTTACTCCCACGTTATTTAGAATGAGATTTTTTTCTGAAAGAGAGTTTAGTAGGCTTCTCAAATTCATTCAAGGGTTAACTTAAGTAATTAGCATCTGAGTAAGCCTAGTTTCACGTCAGAGTACAGTCAGACTGCAAAGCCACACGCCAGTTAGTGTCCTCAAAGTCTTTACAGGGGAATTGTTCCCAACTCCCCTCCGCTTCACATACAAAACTGTATCTTACTCTAGCCAGCTATCATAGACACCTCAAGCCCTTTTTCTCTCTTTCCGATACTAAGCTAAATGCGCTCAATTAAAGCAAAGTAGATACTATACTTCAACAACATAACTTTGTGTTCTTGGTTGCTTTTTTCTTTGTTACTTATCCAGATAAGGAAAGATGATTCTATTGAGTTTGACTACACTGTCTTACTTCATGAAATTCCAACACAGGTAAGAAAGTATATATGCGTAACACCTTCACCAGAGAAACCTCAAAAAGATCATAAAGCAAACTTTTTTTTAAAAATCTGTTCTCCAGGAAATGATTTCATGCCACATGCGCGTCATTTGGCTTCCTGGACACCCTCTGAAAGTGAAGTACTTCTGCGCTTCAGAGAATCAGTGGTTTGAAGAGGCATCAGGAATGGGATCTGGATCAGCTGCTGGAATTTCACATGAAAAAGAAGAAAATTTTTAAGAGAGATTGACAGCTTTGTATAAACATATTAAGTGGGAAAAACCTTGTGTTAATAAACCCAGAGTTGTGATAATTTTTCTATACAAGTCACACTACAGTGACTTTAAATGCTTTCACTAGTCTGTTTTGTTCCAAAATGAATATCTGTAATGTCTTGAAGGGTAAAAACTGACATGTTCTAGAGATTTGCCTAAAAACTTTTGCTACTATATACATACATAGATATACATACACAGGCTGATTTTATGTGACTAAGTTACTTACAGTAACATAGTTTGTGAACAAAGTTAATATATTTGGATAAAAATCTTGAGAAAAATATTAATCTGTCACTGAGAAATATTTGTCTACTAAATTTTTTTTTTTTTGGTTTTTGGATAGATTTATTATTTGCTGATTTTTAACTTAAATCTCCAATAAAACAAATACCATTACACACAGCGGAGGTCGGGTTTTCCTTTATGACTTGCTGGTTGAGCACAGCTTTCCATCTTCTCTCAGCGTCTGGCCATAGAAAGGACGTGGACCAGTGGAGGCAGTGAAATTTCTCCCCACAAGGCTCCAGGCAAGCGAGTAACCAGAACCTGTGTGTTCCACAGACGGCCTAAGTCCCACTGGCGCACAGTTCTTCCCTGCTTTGTAAGCTTAACAAAAAAGGAAGTTTCTCCTCTCATTTGTGAGGTCAACTTAGAAAATATTGATATAAGGAAAACATGCTTTGTTGTCTCCCCATGCCTGCCAGGAGTCTAGAACACTGCAAGGGAAGTGTTTGTCAGAAGGAAACTTGCGGATAGTGTGGGGTTTTTTGTCTGTTTACAGTATGGACGGAGTTCTCGCTGCTAGTTTGAACAAAGACGGACAGAACTATAATTTAACGACTGCCATGTCTTTTACCCATCCTAAATACAACAAAGACTTATTGCAAGAATGTATTTTTATCCTTTCACACCAAATTCTCCATTCTGACTTCAGGGCAAACGCACTTCCCTGCCTTTATTCTCTAAAATTATGCCAAACTATCTTGAGTGTGTCACTTTTTTTTCCTTAACAAGAATTTCTGCCAGGCTAAATTAACTCCATATAATAAGAGTGCCTTACTTAGGAAAGCAGGCAATGGTCTCTGCCTTCAGAGATGGTCATTTTCTTCCACAAGTTGTAGTATACTGTGCTACCAGTGATCTGTAAACAGTAATGATGATTAAGGTATTTAGCATAAAAGCTTTCACTGGGGGATGGATAGGCTATGCGATCTGATCGCTCAAAATAATTTAGGCATTTTATACAATTGTATTAGTCTCCAATACACTTTTCCTGACTGAAGCCTTTTATATCAGCACCCAACACGTTAAAATAAATTCAGTAAAACAGCATTTCACATATTCTGTGTTTTCTTTTGTGCTGGCAAAACACGCAATCAGAGCTTTTAACGATAACTTCAATATGAAACTGATGATGAAAATATTTTTTAGAATTTAAACAAGAAAATTACAGTACAGACATTTTGCACTTTGGGGCTCTATCTTAGCAATATATTGAACTGCAAGCCTAGTTTCCTTACTTTGTTTTTGCCATTGCGCTCCAGACCTAGAAGAGAGAATCATGTATTTCCGACCTGACAAATCAGTGCAACTTTGATGCCAAGTAAGCAGCACAACTTTTATATCAGTTAAACTGCACAATCCTAACTTCTAGAAGAATACAAATCCTGTTGGAATTCAGTGGCAAAATTTCCACTAACCTCTTTAGGGCCAAGATTTCAGTCAGTGGATTAGAACCTGAAATTATCTACGCAGTTTTTACTCAAGCAAAATTCTTCATTAAATTATCTAATTTTCATTAAGTCATCATTATTAAATAACGTTTACCATTATTAAAATATTATACTATTAATAATGGTAAACATTCTCCGAGTCAAGACTCCCGTTGGCTCACAGTGAATTCTTCATGCAAAAAAAGTGCAACGAAGAGTATCTGTAAGAGACTGGATACAGACAAGAGAGCTGTGTTCCACAATTTTGCTGCTAGAAAGAGATCAACTAAGTCAGATATACTACCAGTGCTACTGGTAAAACTCTACTAAAGGGGGAAAAAAAAACCCCACACACATGCATGAAGAAGCAAGATCTCGGGCACCCTAGAAACGACTGCTCCTGTTCCATGATCTTTTTCACTGTCTCAGGGTGCTCCTGCTACGCAACCCTTCCTTCAGTCCTTCCCCTGTTGCCCCACCTCCTCCTACCTGTTGTTTTTTCTCCCTCTCAGCTAAGTGTAGCAGACCCCACTGTGTCCCTATGCTGTGCTCCCCTGAGCGTGGTCTTGTCGTCTGTGTTAGATTTGGGGAGAACCAGCACGCATCTGGCAGAACGACAGCCAGGATTTCACATCATGACTGACCTCTAATAAGCAAAACACAAAAGCCATAAATACAACTAAAATAATAACTACCCCATTTCTTTCTTTGCTGTTGCATTCATACTGCTTTTATAAGCCCTCTCTGAATTTTGGCAAAGGTGCAGTAATATTTGCTTGCTTAAGGAAATCCCTAAATGACCTGCAGGGCTTTTCTTAAAACTAGTTCCAGCTGAAATTTTTCTCAAAAAATAAGGCTACAGATGTAATGGAAACAAGAACGATTTGGCCCCAAGCCACATCATATGCATCTACAACATTATGCCCATGCTTAGTTAATATTTACATGCTCCGACAAATCTCTAACACTGTTCTCGAATTTCAAGTTTAAAATGAGTAATTTTCACTGTCTTTTGGTGAGGACTGAGGCAAAAAAGTATAGCCATTACAGTTCTGTCTGTGTCTGGTAAACATCAACCACAATCCTGTGCCAGGAATGCAGTTGGTTTTGAACTCGAACTTCATTCTCTGTTTACTGGAAGTCTGCAAAAATGCTGTAAGCAGAGGAAGTTAGGAAGAGAGAGCACGCAAGGAAAATTTGCAGTGGATCTTTCAGTAATAACATCAAAAAAAGAAAAAAAGGTATCTTTTCCCTCTCACCTAACTGTAACAGCTTCAATTCTTCTCTGTATTATAAGTGAACATGATCTAATTAAGTGATTCCCAGGATGAGCATCAACAGGAACGCAATCTCTTGATTGTAAGATTCTGGGTAAAGGAATCTTTTTGTTTAGTTTTACGACAAAGAGATCCTTTTAGGGAGATGGAGCGCCGGGAGCCAAGTAAGCAACGTATACATTAACCCATTATCACTAATAGTTTAGGAAAGAGTTTACTTCTATGTAAATTCTTCTCAACTTTTTTCAATGCATTGTACCATCTGTGATAAGCAGAGTTGGTGAAATGCAAGTTCCACTAACAGGTGAATTTGTTCTGTTCATTCATTCATTATGACTTTGGAGGATTTTAACACTGCTTCTGAAAGATGAGATGAAAATACTCACATTTTTCTCCAGACTCTATGCTGTAAGCGAACTGCAGGAGCAAAAGGATTTGTGCTTGGAGCACCTGAGTGAAAAATAATCACTATGCTGGATAAAAATTCATCCCCTGTACCTGTCAAGCAGTTAACATTTAGTCTCCTAAACTAGGTTTTTTAATCTCTGAAAAACAGAGAAACAGTAACTAGCCGAATTACACAATAGTATTTTATCAAGTAAAAAAATAAGAATATTTTAATACAAATGGATTAAGACAAATTTCAAGACAAATCATTGTCAATGTTATCACATTTATATATTTTGTTAACGAGTAGCATCTACAAGTGAACAATTCCGCTGTAATCTCCTGGTGACTTCTGCGAATACCATAAAGGAAGGGTATTACGATGTAATGAAGTCCCACTGCAGTCCGCGTTTATCCAGCCGGCCTCAATCTCTTGTGTCACACTTGGGCAACTGAGCTTTTAGAGAAGATGATGGAAAACTGTTCAGTGTACTCAAGAGGAAAAAAAGTCAGCTCTTAGCTTTGCCCTTTTTTGCAGGAAGTCGTCCTGTTGCCTCAAGGTATTTGTTAATTATTTCTTCTTGGGTACTGGGCAAACATGGCTGATATTTACTGTATTCCATCGTATATTCACCCTTTCCCTGAAGAATTAGAAAAAGAATAATCAAAGTTAGGATGCTAAACAAGTAGCCATTCTGCAGGCTGCCAGGCCATAACCTGGGAAGTAAACATGCAACAGTAATTTACAATGAAGTATACAAACACTGTATACGGAGGCATGTATTTATGAGATACAAAAATAAACAATCAGTATCTGAACATTGTTTCGTTGATACAAGATTATAAATCTGCCTATAGTTTCCATCCCAGGGTGACAATTCTGCTTGAAATCTGAAAACAATTATGGTATTAGCAATAATCCATTCAAATGCTCACAGAATACACGTACTTGTATGTCACATGAGATAGGAAACAGCAAATTATTAGTAAAACACAAAGAAAGTGCCTCACCCGATTCAAATGCATCTAGGAATTAAATTAACGTATAACCATAGAAGCGTATATTGTTAAAAAGGGACATCTTATTAATGCAAGCACTGCTTTCAAAAGTCTCTTAGCTTGCATATATTTCTTGCATATATTTAAAACTGAACATAAGGAACATGGAATAGTTTTTGCAATCTGTGAATTTAATACCTTTATTAGTATTTACCACTTCAAATTATTTAAGACTTATCTCCTTATCTGCCCCAAAGTATAAAAGAAATCTTTATCCTGAAATGACATAGCTAATGATGGCTAAAATAATTAAAAAGCAGTTAAAGTAACAGTAATAACCCTAAGGTTATTTCCCTAGTCTGCATTGGTATTTTGATTTTTATCTCTTTTAAGGCTACTTATGCTATGTATATGATGATGCAGATGAACACATTTGATTTACAGAAATAAATATATTACAGAAATAAATGTATTATAGCAAAAAATACTAGGAGTACTCACCTCTGTACAAGACCTCAGCTCAGTGGCATATCCAAACATATCGTTCAGTGGCACCTAAAAACCACACATATTAAGCGTATTATTCTTGTAGTAGGAACAATGAGTTTTTCCACCCATTTTTGGTTACCATTCAATTAATCTTTGTTATGATATGTAGAGCCAGTTTGTAAAATCTGGTGTTCTTTGTAAACAGTACTGATTTTGCTAACTTTTTTTGTAAACACCCCTTATTGCAACTAATGAATACTCACAATGTATACTCGGCAGGAAACCCCAAAGATCTCAGAGTCAGAATATACCAGATACTGGAATATCCCAAAGTCAGAATACACCAGACACTGGAATATCCCAAAGTCAGTAATCTGCGTTACCAAGCAAGAATGTTAGACATATCTCAAGACTGCAGCTTTTAAACACACTATACTCTTCAGAGCAGGAACGGTGCAGCACGTGGTTTGCCATTAGCTAGGCTTTGCTGAGATGACCTACCCTACAACCGTCGTTAGAAACACATTTCATATGACCTAACATGAAAACGAATGCGTTTTAAAAGGGACACAAAAGGCCTGGAAGACAGTCGTTGCATGCACCTCCAATTATTAATGTCTCCGGGTTAACAGCTGAAGGAAGACAGTTGACAAAGGACTCGGACTCCCTTAACTTTGCGCGGCTGTATTGCTGCACAGAGTTTGTTTCACTATGAAGAAGCACAGCTGCCCAACCTGGCTCATTAAAGCGGTCCTGCTAAAAAACTGAAGCGGGAGTCGATGCAGGGCAGGGGGAGTCGATGCAGCAAACAGAGGATTAGGCTGAACTGTGAGAAACCTGAGCTCTGTTCCTTTCTCTGCCACTGTAAGGTATCAGGTCAGTCAGCTGGCTTCTCTGAAGCAAGACAGATCTGGAATAGGCTTACATTGCGCTGTATACATTGTGTACACTGTACACATAGACTGCATTGTAATATTACATTTACATTGCACTGCTGAGTTGAAAATTAACGTTATGCATGTCCACAGCGTAACCTGGCTACAAGTCAGTAAGAAAAACAGAAATGGAGCTAAAAGGCAATATAGGAAGGGGAAGAGAAAAAGGTCAAGAACCAGTTAACAACACACACCTCAGCATATAGAGTAAAGTAACCCTCTGTGCCATCTTGTCCTGTGATCACTCCATGACGGCGATTAATGCCAGCTATTACTGCTCCTTGGAATTCAGTGGGTGCCATCACCTCCACTGCCATAATGGGTTCAAGTATACGCACAGAAGCGTTATCCATAGCTGGGAGGAAAAAGAAAAAAAAACATTAATTAAAATACCCATAACTCTGCACCTTAAATGATCTTTACTTTGGCCTTGCAGGAAACCAAAGTGCTGCCACAGACTTACAATGCGAAGGCCAGAAGTGACAGCTAAGACAATGTGTTTTCCATTAGACCCACTGACCCTAACAGTGAACAGTAACATATTACTCATGCAAGTTGTGTTCTGCAAGACCATATAAATTAACTTTCAGCTAGATTCACACGCAGCTAGACAAACTGGAGAACAAGCCTGGTATCATTCAAGATACTCCTACGCATAGCTATGAAGTGTCTTTATGGCTAATGCTGAATGTTTCTTACACCAATGGGGAAAGGGATATTACTGCTTTGGACTTCCAGCTCCTCTACCTTCTGTTTCAGAGATCATAACACTGGGAGGCACGCAGTTTGATAGAATGTTATTTTCTTACTTCTATAAAGATGAAGCTCTTCACGTTTCTTTACTGTAATCTAAGAAAGAGTTTCTTATTTCCTTCATCCAGCTACAATTAGGTTGCCTTCCTCAAAATTCCTTTCAATTCTTCCATTTATTCTGCTCTACGTAACTGGCCAACAAACTTTGAACGTATGTATAGATACACTGGGCAACAAGTGAACCTTAGAAAATGAGACTGTTTAATTTGGCTCCAACAGTGAAGAATCCAGTAGGACTCCATATTCAAATGACTAGCTTTATACCTTGCTTCAGAGCTCCTTCTCCTGCTCTGATGAAAGAGATTTCATTAGAATCCACCATGTGATGAGCACCATCCTCTAGGACAAATCGGACTCCAGATATCCTGTGCCCTGACACCGGACCTTTTTCACAGGCATCGCGGAATCCCTGTCACATAACATCTCAAAGTCAGCAGCTTTCAAACCAAAGCGAAGCTTTAAAAAACAGCAGAATTAATGACAGACTATGAAAGAAATAAAACAAAACAAAACTTTCACCATAGGTAACAACAATCACACATCTCGACAATGAACATTCTCGTTTGATAAGATGACAACAGACTACTACATAGCGGGGAAAACTTTTCATTTCCAAGCATTTGAAAACTTTGTACTGTCATTCTTCAATTTGATATCACATGAAAACAGAAATCGGATCAGAAATTGAAGACAAGAAATGCGTTCAGGATTTTGTTTTGTGAATGAAGCCTGACAGTAACTGAAAGAAGGCTCTATGTGGAGAGCAACTACTTTAAATACTCGATCGGAGAAGAAAATTAAGACTGCATGTTTTTCCAGCATTTGGCAAAAAACGTGAAGTGCTGTATCACAGAAGAATGACAGAATTATTTTAGTTTATTACAGAAATCCAAAAACGGTGCTAAGATGGCGATTAAAAGGTATTATTTAAAGCAGTATGTGATAAACTAAACAGTTACACCAACAGAGGCAGACATATGAGAAGCCCCCAGAGGAGGTGAAAAAGAAAGAACACTAGATAATTTATTCAGGAAATCTAACTTAACTGCAGTTTCTTCTATAAATGGTCTCTGAGAAATAACACAAAAATTATGTAACATGTTTCAGAATTAGAGATTAGGCTCACGTGACCACAATCAAAAGCAGAAGAGGGGAATAAAACACCAGAGTCAAAGGAGGAGGTTTGTTCTACTGCAGGAAAGGAAAGCCTACCTTTTGCATAGAGACGCTGCTAGGGAAATAGAGCTAAGCGCACGCTAGCAAAGAAAACAAACAGCCACTGCTAAATTAAGTGGAAAACCTAGGAATGTAGGATATTAAGCAAAAACACATGAAGTGGATTCTGCTTCCACTGAAGTAATGGGAAAAGTCTTCTTGCCTAGGGTAAGACAAACACAGCACATGTTGACAGCGTAGCAAGAAAAAGACAAGAATCAATACTCCTTATGTCATACACACGCACAAAAATCACAAAAGGCTTCATACCTTTTCAACAGCAGGCACAAACTGTTTTGGGATATTTGTGCCAATAGTTCTGTCTTCGAATTCCAACTTTGTGTAGTCCTCAGGATCCAGAGGCTCAAGAACCCCTATAACTTTACCATATTGGCCTGCCCCACCGCTCTGCTTCTTGTGTGTAAATTCAAACCTACAAGCAAACAAACCAACCCAGAGCACCACGTTACTCATTGCACAAACAATGCTCTAACCACAGTTCCACAAGGCAAAATTTCTCATACTCCAATTTGCTTTATTCCGTTTAGTTATGTGTAACCAAAAGGGCTACACGCTGTAACCGTGACCGAAAGAACAGTGGAGAATATTTAGCTTGTTTTAAGAGGAATTCTAACCCCTCTCAATTCCTCTAATTTCAGTTCTTGCTTAAGAGAAAGAAGTTTCTTCATCTTGTGAGCTGGAAACTAAGAGACTGCGATGATGTAATCAAAAAAAAAAAAATCCGGCACCACAACAAAAAAATGCAACAACAGCAACAAAAAAACCCACAACGATAAAACCCCAGAAACCTCCCCTGGCTGCAGCAAGTGACACTACTGCTGCCTGTTCACCTTCACACTCGCGTCTCTTTGCTGAGCTAATTAAGAGCGAGATTTCTTTTATCTGCACGCGTGCCGACAAGTTTCCTCCCGCAAAGTATAGTGATGGCAGCACTTCGCCTGGACAGGCTGAGGGGAAACCTCGGCGAGGTCAACCACCAGTATCCGGCTGGGGGGGCTGTGTGTGTGTTTGTTTGTTTTCCCCGTGAACCCGGAAGGAGGGCGGCTCCCCCCGGCCGCGCTCACGCCCCGCCCGCGGGAACG